TTCAAGTAATCCGGTACTTCGCGGCTCAAGTGACCGTCAAATATCGCGAAAAGGCCTAGCTCGTTGTCCCCGACTTCTTTGAATTGGGCAAAAAGGTAATCTTCCATAGCGTGGCCCGATTTTCCCTCCACGAGATGATAACCGTGAGTGATGTACTTTGACATCTTGCTCTTGCCTTTTCCCGCCTCGGACGTGGATGGAGTTATACCTACTTTTTCCTACCGTAAAATTCGACAACATTGAAGTGGATAAATAAAATTTAACAACATAATCCAATTTTTCCTTTTTACTCCCCCCTCCTTTCTATTATATTTGGTTTTGTGCTTCACGTAAAAGAGGTTTTAACCATACTTTTGAATCCATTGTCGTGCGGCGAAATTAGTCGAACATGATAATCAATGTTTTGATGATGTAAATACTAACTATGCAAAATGCAACAACGATACCAAAAAATACATGGATCATGCTTTTATACTCGATGCCAAATAAATCTACGAATATTACGTTAAAGAACACACATTTATAACATCCCGAACGACATTTTTATATAATTTTCGCGCTCACACAGGAGGTACAAACATGAGATTAGTAACTCATAGAGAATCCTAAATTCAAGATCCAATACAACAAAATACACATACACCAACAAGCAACAATAGCAACAAATCGACATTATTGACTAGTTCGTTTTCGATAAATCGGTATCATCCTCTGTATACTCAACAATTACTCATAAACCTAATAATTTGTTAAAAAAAAAATGACAATTTTGCGCCACAAAAAGGTACTTGATTCAATTAGTTGATATGGGAATGTCTTCGAATTTTTCAAATCGCAACAATTTTATCTGCCTAATGATATGAATTTCTCATGTTCCATAAAAATCACCATTAAAAAATCACATAAAACAAAAAAGAAAAAAAAGGGAAAATAGGAAACAGATGAAATCATAAGACAATTTGATTAATAGAAATGCAAAAATTTAAATAAAAAATGCGTGAATAAGACAATAATACCTTCATTTTCTGGATGATTTCCTTTCCTGTCATAGTGAAAATTTATTTTGCAGGAAATTTGGGGTTAGATCAAATGAAGGAGAGACAGGCCGTGTTGTGTAATGTGTCTGACGAGGACTACGGTGGACACGTGTCCTTCGAACTTTCGAGATATGCGGAACAATTTCAAAGGGCCAGTCAAGCTGGTTATCGGGCTAGTAAAGATAAAGCCCGTTGGGTTACAAATTTTCACTCGGCCATCAAATTCTAAGCCCCGTCCATCTAATGATGCTTATCTTATTCTACATGCAAAGAGTCTTTTTCCAAATTTTAACTTAGCTTAAGCCAATGTTTGGTTCGAGGGAAATGAAGGGGAGGGCAAGGGAGGGGAGGGAATTTTTTATTTGTATATGTTTAAAAAAGTCAAGGAAAATAAGGGTTAATAGGGGCAAAAATGACAACGTAAGCGACGTATCCGGAAAGACTTGTTTTTGAACACGACATTATTGTTTGATGTGGATAATATATTTTTGTCGCACCATCATGTTTTCAAAACCAAATCGTATACGTTTAAAAAAGTCAATGAAAATAAAGGTAAATAGGGGCAAAAGTGAGAACCTAAGCGACGTCTCTGGAAAGACTTGTTTTCGAACACGCCACTATTACTTGATGTGGATAACATATTTTGATCGCACCATCGTGTTTTGAAGCCAAATCGTATACATTTAAAATAAGTCGAAAAAAATAATGGTAAATAGGGGCAAAAGTGAGAACTTAAGCAACGTTTCTGAAAAGACTAGTTTTCGAATACGGCACATTATTTGATGTGGATAACATATTTTTATCGCATCATCGTGTTTTGAAGCGAAATCGTATACGTTTAAAAAAGTCGAGGAAAATAATGGTAAATAGGGGCAAAAGTGAGAACGTAAGCGACGTCTCCGGACAGACTTGTTTTCGAACACGATTTCCTTTGTTTGGTTCAATTTTTTGTAGGGGGAGGGGTTTGGATTTTCCTTTCAAATCCCTCCTCCAAGGGAAAATACCCTCCTCTCCAAAAGTGGAGGAATTTGGAGGGTATGGAAAATTTTTTACAATAAATTACTCTTTTGACCTTAATGTGAATTATTTTATTTTTTTTGTTTCTTACATCATTAAGGGTATAACTGTCATTTTTACAATATTTTCTTTTCTTTCCATTTTTCTAACCAAACAAGGTTTACTATTTTCCCTCTTCTCACCTCTTACAAAATCCCTCCAAACAAGATAAAATTATTTTACATCACCTTCCCTCTCCTCTCTCCCATTAACGTTGAAAAAAATAAAGCATATATGAACAAAAAGATAAAGATAAAGATAAATATGTCCTTAAGCATTTTATGCTACACGACAGTAATTACGTGGTCCTTCGGATTAGGACTTGCACAATGAAACTATTACACGAAAAAATAAATAAGAATAATTAGAGACGTTACTAGTTATTGTGATTTTGTTGGGTTTCAATTAATATCTACACACGTTCCTAAAAAAAAAATATATGTTGCCACATCTATATATATATAATTACAGGCTGATATGCATTAAAGAAAACCTAATAAATTTTACCTACGTGGCAGTTTCCCTCCATTTTACGTTACTGTTCCTTTTTTTTTTTTATTTTCTAAAAAACAGCTCATATTTAGATAAGAGTTGACTGTTGTTAATGTTGTTACCATATTTTTTAAACGTATTAAATTATCTACACAATTAGCATAATCATTTTTTGTAACCGCAATGATTAAATTAAACGAAATAAATGAAAAGAAAAAAAAATTATAAATATTACAATCAACTTAAAAAAATAAACTAAAAATAAAAATAAAAGGCTCCATCTCCGGTAAAATTCCTGTTAAAAAAAGAAAATAAATGATCAGCCACAATAATAATTTACATGTAACAAGTAATTATAATTTACATTTTCAATATGTAGAGATTTGGCGGGAATTTGAAAATTTTTAAAAATTCATCATACAAATTCCAAAACATAATTAGGCGGGAATATGAAAATTGCAAATCAATTTTTCTTAACTCATACATAATTAAGCGGGAATATGAAAATTGCAAATCAATTTTTCTTAACTCATCCAACACCCATATATTTTGCTAATCTCATATGAAAATTAATGTGACAGATTTACATCACTATTACTCCAATAAAATAAAATGTTAAAGAATTATTTAAATTGATATTATCATTATTTAAATTAAATGTGGCTGGTCAAAGAATTAATTCAAATTGCCTTATTTTTTCAATCAATCATTTATTTAAATTGATATTATCATTATTATACAAATAAATTTGTATTTATTACTTTTTCCCAAACCCCATATAAATAGTGAACTCATTTGCCAAACTCACTTCATCCCATTCTTTTCAAATCACACTTGCACGAGCCAAAAAAACTCTTCATTTTCAAGCTTAAAAATTCCAAAAACCATCATGATTTCACAGCTTGACAATTTAACATACTTGGCAAAAAACAAAAAAATGGCAGCAAAGCTAAGATTGGTGAGATATTTCCCCAAATTCTACAAGTCCACCAAAGAAAACATAAGAGAGCTTCAATTTGTATTTCATGATGTGAAGGTATTTATCTTTAATCACGCATTTTATTATTGAAGTTGATGTTTGTGTCAAAATAATAATTTACTAATAATACAATTTTTTCTTTTTTTAGGGTCAACGGATTCATGGCTCGGCACCCGGATTCTTGGCACAAAAATTCAACGACTTTAACCTCATGGAAGGACAAGTGTATGTGATTACAAGATGGGACTTAAAGGAGGACAAAAGTTCTTTCAAACTAACCGAATCAAGCCACAAGCTTGAGTTTGGTCAAGAGACCAAAATGTACGAGGTTTTGGAAAACAACTACCCGAGGATATTGTTCAACTTCAAAAACTTCAAGGAACTATCCGACCCTCAAACAATCGATTCCACCAAAATATTTGGTAATTTATTTTCTTCATGGATAGAAGTATTATTTCTCTTATGCTACAATGTATTATTTTAAACTATATTGATTAATTGTTTAATTTTTTAGATTTGATTGGACGTATTGCTTTGGTTCAAAGCATACGAACAACAAAATCAAACGGAGTGGAAAAAAAATACATCGATGTTGTTCTCGAAGATGTTGAGTAAGTTAAAGATAATACGCACAATTTTTTTAAAGTAATTATAATTTTGTTTCTTATTAAAAAATCATTATCTAATCTTTTGTAGGGGCTGCCATTTAACTTGCACATTGTGGGAAGAATATATGCAAGTCATCATTGACGCCCTAAACAATTCTCCCGTGACTAACTTGCGGGTGTTAATCGTACAACTATGCCGAGCGAAGGCTTTTGATGACGGTACGTTACACATTTAATTGTTTTTTTAATAACTTATATTTTATTTTGTTTTATAAGATATTTGTTCTCTTTTAGGATCCATAAAAGCGGGTAACATTTTTGATGCTACCAAGCTAATCATGTGTGATATACCTGAAATTTCGGAATTCAAAGAGAGGTAATAATATTTTTAAAATTTTTAAAAATTTCTTAGTAGATTAACATATTAACTTTTTCAAAATTTATTTGTTGACTTCAAGGTACACCTCACACATAAGGCCAAGTGAGTCAACATTCCAATATGTGAGGCCCTTCATATCAAATGTTTGTGAAGACTTGGAGTCCGGAATATCACCGATCAAGTGCTCGGCTGATTTTTTGAAAGCTAATGAGGTATATATATATATAGATTATTAAATACACTAAATTCTTAATTTTCTAATCACTTATATGTTGTATTATCTTTTTCTTATGTTCAAGAAAGAAATTTTTGGATATATGGCAACATCATAGACATATCAAGCAATTTTTTCTTCAAATCGTGTCCAAATTGTGTTAGGAAAGTGGAAGCCAATGGAGATCGGTTTTGGTGCAATTATTGCAAGGACTCGATTCCTTTTCCAATTCTTAGGTAATTGTATTTCTCATTTTATTATTCTCAACCGTATTTATAAACTAATAATATTTTATTTTTAAACTATTTTTCAATGTTAAGGTACAAGCTCCACATTTCAATTGTGGACGACAGTGGCATTGTGCCACTTTTTTGTTGGGATAAAGTTGCGAGAGAAATGATTGGAAAATCATGCGAGGACGTTGTCAACGAAATGTTGAAGGCATGCACAATTATTATTCTTCTAATACTTTAATGATTAATTACATATTAAATTTTTTTGTTCTTATGTTATATTCTATTATGCAGCAAGATGATGGAGCTATGTTTCCAAGTGAAATTGAGCAATTGAATGATAAAGCATTCATGTTTAAAGTTTCGAAGAAGAAGGATCAATTTGAATCTTACAAAGGTCCATTTACGGTTGCTCGCATTACCGCTGATCCTATTTTGCTCAATCGGTATGGACCTTTAGCAATAACTTCACAGGTTAGTAATTTCATAAATTTTATTTATTATAAATAAAAATATATTTCTTTTTGTTTCTAATTTGCATTTTATAATAATGAAGGATGATAATGGTGAAGTGTACAGCCCAATAAGGGCTGTACACGATGAAGTGTACAACCCAATTAGAGGTGCACATGCTGAAATGAACAGCCCAAGAAGGGCTGAAGATGAAGAAGGTTACAGCCCGATAAGGGCTGTTAAGACTGAACCATACAGCCCAAACAGGGCTGCAAAGGCAGAATTAGTTCACAGCCCAAACAGTGTTGTGAAGTCTGAAATGGACTGGACACTCATTGCTGGAAATGGCTGCAAGGGGAAGATTAAAAGAGAACACACAAAGGTGTTTGGAGAAGGCTCAAGCAGTTCAGAAGAGCCAAAGGGGAAGAAGATAAAGATAGAAAAACTTTGAAGGTTGAGTGAAGGCATTTATTTCATAAGAAATAAGAAATTTCAGACATATTTGCAATAAGTCTATTATTACAAACAGTTTGAGTAGGCAGATTTATGTATTCTTCTTGCATTTCGAATATTTTCTATGATCAATATTTCTGTTGTC